TCAACAATTTGTCTCCTCCGCATCACCCTGGTGCCATTTTGGAGAATATCCGCTGGACGTAAACAGCGTATGCTGTTCTGTGTCAGCTGCGTCATGCCAGATCTGTTTCCCACGTTGTTGTGATTTGATCTGAATGGAAACAGCGTATCCTTGTGATGCAGCTGACACAGAACAGCATACGCTGTTTACGTCCAGCGGATACTCTCCAATGGCGCTACAGGGTGACGTGGAGGAGACGAATTGTTGAATAAAGTCGTTATTTTTTTTCTCCAAAAATTATTCTCGTAGCTTCGTAAAATTACGGTTGAACCCCTGATGTTACATGGATTATTTTACAGATCTCCTTGCCACGTTTCTGGACTTGGAAACATTTCCGTTGTATTGCTGTCTATGCAGGGTCAGACAGCTCTCAGATTACATCAAAAATATCTTAATTTGTGTTCCGAAGATGAACGAAGGTCTTACGGGTTTGAAACGACATGAGGGTGAGTCAGGGTCAGACAGCTCTCAGATTACATCAAAAATATCTTAATTTGTGTTCCGAAGATGAACGAAGGTCTTACGGGTTTGAAACGACATAGAGGGTGAGTAATGAATGACAGAATTTTCATTTTTGGGTGAACTAACCCTTTAAGATGATTTTTAAAAAGTGCTAATGTCGCAATCAAGTTTCTAACTGTAAACAGTGCAGATGTGCGTGTCTGACCTTCATAGCAGTCGCGGACGGTGTCAAAGTAAACGTAATACTCCTCGTTAGTGAAGAATAGCAGGCTGAGCCACGAGTCGAAGGCGTAGATCGGCACGATGAAGAGGATGCGAACGATGTGCCGCTGCTCGTTAGGAGTGTTATAGTAGCGCAAGTGCATGTAGATCTGAGACACACAGACACAGGCAATATGATATTAATACTTTCATGTTTATTATCATGCCTACTCACATTTTGTCATTTATTATTCTTTATTAATATGCATGCAGCATATATTGATGCTGTGTTGTACATAAAACAATCATGCCAATGAATTAAACGTGTAAACTGAGCAGAAACAGAACTTCCTGTATGTTTGTCAAACATGTGAAAAAAAGCATGTCTGTGTGTCAGTGGAGCAGGTGCCTCTTCTGTCAGCACAACTCTCCATGTGTGTGTGTGTGTTTTACAAGTTCACATAAGCTGAACTATCTCACACCACACACACAGTTCTGAATGCTGTTGCTATGCAACCACCTCTGCTCTCTGATGTCATGCCACCTGTTGCCAGAGCAACTGCTCATCATTATAGGTCAGCTGAACCACTATGATACCACAGATATATTATGTAATGTGAACCTTACAATAAATATTGTGATTTACATATATGATAGATTTAGAAGTTAATGTAAAAACTGCCTTGTGCCACATTTACATTTATATATTATAAAATATATTAATACATGCTTGGACCTTATGAAATTCAATATTATAATTTAAAACAATATATATTTCATATTAATATATACATGCAAAAACAAGTAATAATAAATTATATTAGTATTTACTACAATATTAACAGTATTATGCATTTAAATATTATAAAATATAATAAAATATTTTTTTATTTAAACAAAAGAAAACACATACTTTGACCTTATGAAACATGATTAAATACATAATATAATAAATAACCGCTTAAAAGGTATAAGCTTGCAGATTTCAAACCAGCCTTGTTAAAAAGTCAGCATTATATAGAAATATACAAATAAATGTGTTGCCTGCCCTGAGATGTTCACATTTATTTATCATCTACAGTAATCAGCAGTCGTCTTTTGTGAAAACTACAGATTGTACTTCTGTATTTTTGTATCCCCACTCACAGACAGCCGGATTGAGCCCAGTGCATTATGGGTGTTGAAGTCTCTCTACTTTTCTAGCAAAACAGAGCACCACAGCCCTTTTCCTATGTTTTCTCTAGTCTTGTATAACTGATATATAAAAAAAAAAAAATTGGCTTACTACTGCCAAGTTTGATTAAAAGCACCATCTAGTGTGTTACCTCTTTAATACATAAATATATATTTCACAGTGTAATTAAACTTTATAGTGGAGTCTAGAAGGAGTTTCTCAGGTGTAAGGAATACGTTTCTGAATATGAATGCATGTGTGGCACCTGTTGGCAGGTGAGCAGCAGAGCCGTCCAGGTGAAGATCCCAGAGATGGTCTGAGCGGCGGGGGTCATGAGGAAGATGGGCGTCTCTGGGGTGACCACCGGCGTCTCCCACGACCTGTTGTGACCCCCAGGGGCCACCGTAACGACCCCGGGCCCCGGCGCCATGCCAACCAGAGAGTCATTCCCTGAACGCTCCGATAGTGACACGCCCCTCCTCCACAGCAGAGCCATCTGCAGACGAGAGCCAATCAGAACACGGCAAACACACCATGGGGAGGAGCTAATACTAGTCATTAACAAATCGTCTAAATGGACCCTTTTCACAAGACTGTGATGACGCGTTTAACGGTCATCAGCATCGTAAATCCTAGAATGTTCTTCATATTTGTTTTTTGTTTTTTTTATGTATGTACATTTATAACACTATTCTTTGTATTATATCACCTTTGCATCAAATTACAAAACAACTAGTTAACGCTAATGCGAGGGTGTATATGGGAGGGACGGTAAATATGACATTGTTCTCTCTTCTGACTTCCTTTATCAATCTCTCTCAATTTTTTTAATTTTATTGAAAGTCATGAAAACTATCGTGGAGCTTTTCTTTTGCTATTTGAGCAAATGGGAATGCAAAAAAAAAAAATTGTGGTACTCTCCCATTCACTGCTCTTCAAGTTAACCCAACTCTGACAACTTCCGCTGCTGAGAAACCTGGAAATGTGAAAAAGGTGAAGGTCCATAGAGGTTTCACTAGTGAAACGTGAATCTTTCAAAGTTTTTTTAAACACTTACCTAAAGCCTTATGATGCAAAAATAGAACAAGTTTGTAAAATCTGTGGATTTTACACGTGGTACCATAGTATTTATTGATATATACAAGAATAAGCTGAGATCTTCCTCCTGCAGTGATGATGCATTAGTGTGTGATTCAAGACTCTCTTACAGGAAGTGGATGGTCTCAGTGTTGCCATGTCAACCCGGTCAGCAGCATCACAACACGACTGACCGAAACACTTGATAGCATCTGAGCTCATGTTTGTGCTCCATAAGATGAACATCTCAAACATCTCGCATACTAGTGGCTCTAGGCCTGTCGTAAATGACACTATTTTAAGTTATCTATCACTTTAAATTAACACAATGAGGGTTGATGAGGTGAACTGAGGGTTAATGTCATCAAAACAATTTAAGTATCATCATACACTTACAAAAATGCAGTGTGGTGGTTCATTGATACACTAATACTGTACGCAGTGCCTTTATACTATGATATTTACAAGGTACACAATATACCACCGCAAAGTAGGCTGCTAAAAATATACCGTGGCATTATTATAGAATAAGTCCAAAAAAAAAAAAAACGTGGCATTGCCAGGGAACCATGTTTAAAAACGTGAAAAACTTCATCTTTGAATCTTTTTTTTTTTTTTTTAATCGCATGATGAGAATCATCACGTCTGGAGATATCAACATTTATGAAGATACAATGATCGGGCCTCCTTCTATCGGAGTCACAAACTAATCAAGCGTTATTTCATTGTCATTGATGTATGTGGTTTTATAAACATTTCCAGTTCTGATCGCTGACACACAATCGAAGAAATCATAAACTGGCAAATTTATAAATCAAACACGTTGACTTCGTATTTATCGATACGATACGGCGGATGATAATGCGAACGCTGCAGTGTCGCGTCGCGAGCGGATACGCTGATGCTGATGCTGCTGCTGATCTCGATTTCAAACAGGTCTCCTGAACCCATTCACCGATCAAAACCCATGCAGTACTCACGTTACTCAGTGGATCCCGCTCATCTGCAGCTCTCAGAACGTGAAATCCCGCCGCATGATGTTTTGCTCCGCGATGCGTCCCGTTCGACGTCACAACGCCCGCGGCTCTCGCGCAGGAGCGCGGGGCGAGTCCGCCAGGCGACGCTTCATAACAACATGCATTAATAATTAATTAGCACACAATAGATAATGTTGAATAGATTAGCTGTTACTGCGAATATGAACACGGTAGCAGTTTGGACACATCTTTGGCTGAACGATTTAAGACAAACATGCCACTGTATGTCTTCAATATATAGAAAACGGAACTTGTATTTGTACGTTTTACAAGACAGTGAAGTAAAAGCATTCTTTTTTTTCTTTTTTTTTTTCTCCTCATGGTGTTTAGAAGCATTACAAAACAAACTGAAACCGAAACTATTTTTATAATGCCTCAATGTAACAGCACATTTTATCTGGTTCATGTTTTATCGTCTCCAAATGTTAACCATTATCGTCCAGCCCTAAACTACTCAATTTGACATTAAGCTTCTTTGAAACATTGTACTAGAGAGAGCGAGAGAGAGATCAAATAAAAGCGTAGTTTTCATTTTTTTTGTCGCATGCTTAGATTATTGCATAAATTAGAAGCATTACAAAACAAACTGAAACCGAAACTATTTTTATAATGCCTCAATGTAACAGCACATTTTATCTGGTTCATGTTTTATCGTCTCCAAATGTTAACCATTATCGTCCAGCCCTAAACTACTCAATTTGACATTAAGCTGCTTTGAAACATTGTACTAGAGAGAGCGAGAGAGAGATCAAATAAAGTAGTTTTCATTTTTTTTGTCGCATGCTTAGATTATTGCATAAATTCCAGGCTTGTTTAACAATTTTCCATTATACAAAACGTCAACAACCTGAATAATTGTGCCCAAACTCTGACTTATACTGTATAAAGATATACACCAAACTTGACATTTATAACTAATGTAGCCTACTATTAACTAGTACAACTAGTATCTAATGTTTGATTAAATGATCTTTACTATAAGACTGTTACTAAATAAATAGATTAAAGTGCATCTATAATCACACAAAGCAAAACATTCACATAGTTAAAAAGAAGACTTTGATTAAATTTACATGACTGAATGAAAACCTGTTAACTTCCCTCTCATACTGAAAGGTTGGCAGCTGAGCTGAGAGAATATTCCATAATACTAATAATACAGACTTAACTTGTACTGTATATGGAAAAATACAAATCTATTTCAATGTGCATTCAGTAGCATCTAATGCACTCATTTAAGAGATTGTTAATGATAAACATTACTGGAAATAGAAGGAAAAATCAAAGACTATCTGGAATTACAAATCAAAACATCCACATAATCAAAAGGTAACAAGACATTTCAAATAAAATGTATGAGTGCGACCACTAATCTATATAATTATCTATTATACATAAGTGAGTCAAACTCTCAATTATTGAAAGAAAACCAGAAAACACACTGACAAGTTTACAGCTAAGAGACAAAATCTGTTTATGGTTAGTAACATGTATGACAAAAAGAGTCCGGAAACCACAAAAACAAAAACAACAACAAAAGATCTGATACTTCAGTGTTTATAACAGCTGCATGTCACTTTTATTTAAATAAACTCTTCACTTCTTTTTTCTCTGTAAAATCTCAAAAAAACAAAACACTGAAAGGAGTGTTAAAGTCTTAATTTAAAACAAAAACAACAGTACAGACACATAAAAACACATACGTCTTTCAGCTGTTTGTAAACTCTGGACAGGCGGATAAGTTTGGCAGAAACGCCGTCACACTTTCGTGTCTTAAAAATGCTTGTAGAATCATTATTGCAATTCAGCCGATACAAAAGGCTACATATGAGTACGCTTAAAAAACACAAGAGAAACGCCAATCGCAGAAACCCGCTAATGCCAGCATTTGTAAAACACAACCAGCAGTGTATAGTGCACAATTAACAATGTACAGCCGCACACAAACTCACTAACACAGGCCAAAACAGTAAAGTGCACACATACACACGTTACAGACGTCCGTCCGTCAGATCACTTGAAAGTCTTTGAAGATAACTTGTATACGCCTTAGCAAAAAAACAACGTACGAATCATATAAATGTAACAGCAAACCTGACGAACAGATCAAGAAGGGAACAGTGGAAGGTCTGAATGAGAGATCAGATGTGTTTAAGATACACAAATCCACAGGAACGCCGCGCTGGATAAGGAACGGAGCGACAGAAAAGCCAAAAAACACCATCTGCGTGAACCTCCCAAAACACAGGGAAGCAATTTCACTCCGGAATCCCAAAGTAGCAATGAAAATAGCTCATTTTTAGGGCCTTCCAAACTTTAAACATTTTTCTCTCCAAATTCTCATTACTTTCATGCAGAAAAAATGACATTATTTAAAATGTAAAGTTTTTATCTATCATGATACTACTTTATTTAAATTAAAAGCTAATTGTATTGCAGTAATATAGTAAATATTACTGCTACGGTAATGAGAAATTGAAAACTTTCCACATTACAATAATGAGAATGTGTGAGTAAATGTGCTCAGTCATCAATCATGACTTTAATTCTGGAGTGAAATGTAACTTAGATGTTTTTTGTTTTTTTTGGCGAGTTTAACGCATCTACCGGCTTCAAATGCTCTTGCGCTCTAATAAAATCAATAAATCTGCTGTTGAAGCATCAAACAGTGTCTGCGTGTGCCAGCGTAACATCAAATTGAAATCAGTCAAGTTGAGCAGTGTGTGTGTGTAAGAAGGCCTTAAGGAACAGTCCCTGCATTCAAATACATGATAGCTTAACTCTGGCAATGATGAGAATGTCTGTAAGCAAATCCCTACGACGCTCACACCGCACCTGTGTGTGTTTAATATCTCACTGGGTAGATACAAAAGTCTGTCAACACGTCCAGTGTTTGTGTGGAAATGTAGCTCTTTGCATGTGAGTGTTTGTTCAAAGTGTGTGTGTGTCTGTCTTAAAGCTGCTGTGTGTCACCAGAAACAACTGCAAAAACAATGAAAACATACAGAGGCCATGCATTACGCTTTTTCTTTTGGTAACTTATTTTTACTCAATAGATAAAAATATACCTCGAGAATATGTTCAAGCTAACATATAATTATGTAACTGACTTTGCATTGAGATGTTTTCATGCCAATTCAATTATTTTTCATTATATTTGTTGTAATGCCTTTAAATTATATTGAAATAAATTAAATATTAAAACCTAGCATATATATATATATATATATATGAGAATGAAAATGAGATATGACATACAGTAATGAGAACTAGCTGAGAACGTGATTAACTGTCCTTAAAAATAATGCCCAATTTTTTTTTAATGGCCCTAAAAGACTTTTATGCCTAATATATATACATATTTGGGGTTAAAAAAATGAAATGTTCTCGAAAGCTAGACTGAAAAACTATAACAATGCATGGGCTTCCAAATGTTTGGAAACAATCATTATTTTTGCAGTTTGACACACTTTAAACTCCATGTACCAGCATCTCAAGAACTGACTGCTGTCAATCACAAACTGTCTGTCCCGCCTCCAAGCAGGTTGCCTGGCAACAACCCGGCTCAGACGTCCGTCCGTCAGATCACTTGAAAGTCTTTGAAGATAACTTGTATACGCCTTAGCAAAAAAACAACGTACGAATCATATAAATGTAACAGCAAACCTGACGAACAGATCAAGAAGGGAACAGTGGAAGGTCTGAATGAGAGATCAGATGTGTTTAAGATACACAAATCCACAGGAACGCCGCGCTGGATAAGGAACGGAGCGACAGAAAAGCCAAAAAACACCATCTGCGTGAACCTCCCAAAACACAGGGAAGCAATTTCACTCCGGAATCCCAAAGTAGCAATGAAAATAGCTCATTTTTAGGGCCTTCCAAACTTTAAACATTTTTCTCTCCAAATTCTCATTACTTTCATGCAGAAAAAATGACATTATTTAAAATGTAAAGTTTTTATCTATCATGATACTACTTTATTTAAATTAAAAGCTAATTGTATTGCAGTAATATAGTAAATATTACTGCTACGGTAATGAGAAATTGAAAACTTTCCACATTACAATAATGAGAATGTGTGAGTAAATGTGCTCAGTCATCAATCATGACTTTAATTCTGGAGTGAAATGTAACTTAGATGTTTTTTGTTTTTTTTGGCGAGTTTAACGCATCTACCGGCTTCAAATGCTCTTGCGCTCTAATAAAATCAATAAATCTGCTGTTGAAGCATCAAACAGTGTCTGCGTGTGCCAGCGTAACATCAAATTGAAATCAGTCAAGTTGAGCAGTGTGTGTGTGTAAGAAGGCCTTAAGGAACAGTCCCTGCATTCAAATACATGATAGCTTAACTCTGGCAATGATGAGAATGTCTGTAAGCAAATCCCTACGACGCTCACACCGCACCTGTGTGTGTTTAATATCTCACTGGGTAGATACAAAAGTCTGTCAACACGTCCAGTGTTTGTGTGGAAATGTAGCTCTTTGCATGTGAGTGTTTGTTCAAAGTGTGTGTGTGTCTGTCTTAAAGCTGCTGTGTGTCACCAGAAACAACTGCAAAAACAATGAAAACATACAGAGGCCATGCATTACGCTTTTTCTTTTGGTAACTTATTTTTACTCAATAGATAAAAATATACCTCGAGAATATGTTCAAGCTAACATATAATTATGTAACTGACTTTGCATTGAGATGTTTTCATGCCAATTCAATTATTTTTCATTATATTTGTTGTAATGCCTTTAAATTATATTGAAATAAATTAAATATTAAAACCTAGCATATATATATATATATATATATGAGAATGAAAATGAGATATGACATACAGTAATGAGAACTAGCTGAGAACGTGATTAACTGTCCTTAAAAATAATGCCCAATTTTTTTTTAATGGCCCTAAAAGACTTTTATGCCTAATATATATACATATTTGGGGTTAAAAAAATGAAATGTTCTCGAAAGCTAGACTGAAAAACTATAACAATGCATGGGCTTCCAAATGTTTGGAAACAATCA